CCATGAACAGCACAGTGCGCTCACACAGTCCAGACACAGGATCTAGATTCGCGCTCACACAGTCCAGACACAGGGATCTAGATTCTTGTAGCCCATGAACAGCACAGTGCGCTCACACAGTCCAGACACAGGATCTAGATTCTTATAGCCCATGAACAGCACAGTGTGTCTGGACTGTGTGAGCACAGGGATCTAGATTCTTGTAGCTGATGTGGAGTACAGTGCACTCTCACGCTGCAGGCAGTGTGTTCTAGATCATGGCCCAACAGGACGCTGTCAGCCTAGTTCAAAGAGTTCAAGATTCTTGTAGATCTATCGTATTGCTCTTGAGGCATGTACACAGACAGAAAGCTTGGAAAGGCTGGATTAATTGCCCTCTCATCCAGGCAGTTCCTCAGCATTAACTGCCCTTTGCCCCACCAGTGTCTCAGGGTCAAGTGCCCCTCACCCAGGAGGCCCCTCCAGGAGATGCCCGGCCTGGAAGACACAGACAGCCCTCTTCTCTTCCTCGTTTATGAAGATGGCGTACTCGAATGCAGCACCGGGCTCCTTGATGTTCCTGGTGAAGAGCCGAGCCCGAGACTGAACCAGCCTACTGAGGCACTGCCCTCCTGGAAGACAGACAGACAGACAGTCAGGAGGACAGACAGGCACAGAGTGAGAGATGGACAGGCACAGAGTGAGACAGAGAGAGACAGACAGGCACAGAGTGAGAGAGAGGTGAACAGACAGACAGGCAGGAAGTCAAATGGAAACAGGGCAACAGACACAGAGAAATGAAAAATAAAATAACTGCAGTCTGTCCTAGAGGTGGGCATGGCTCCTGACACAGGGGGATCTGAGGGGTCTGAATGTCGCTACACTAAAGATCATCGTCCTCCGTTTCCATATCGTCACTGAAGAGGAAGGAGAGTGCCTCGTCACTCCTGGAAAGTGCTGCCAGAACCGCAGGTGTCTCTACCTCCGTGCTCGGCTTCGAAAGGCTCGACTCCACCCCGCCCGACCCCCACACCTCTCCCAGACTGCCCCCAGCAAACACCCTCCCATTACTCCCCCAGAAACAGTGACAGGGGGCGTGTCCTCCCTCAGAACTCTAGGTACAGTTGTGGTCAGCCCCACTACAGACGCGAACACTGCTGCTGTTGGAGTCAAGAGGCCTTCAACGCCTGCAGGCAGGCAGATCAGAAGAGCTAAATCTCTTTAGTCCTGTCTCCTCTGCTCTGTGAAGGGGGAGGACGTGACTCACGTGATGTGAAATCCTGAAAGGTGAAATGACAATGTCAAACCAGGGGCCCACAGTTCAGACAGCATGTGGAAACTCAGGGGGAGGGCATTGGAAACAGAGAGCAGGAGGCGCTCCTTAACACAAAGGGTGGCGGGGGTCTGGAACAAGCTATCCAGCCATGTGGTTGCTGGGGGTCTTTTGGGAAACAGACGAACGAGATCCTCGCGCCCACGAGCTACAGAGCGACCTAGCCCAGCTCTGGGGGCCACGCTGGCCGGCCCCTCCCTGTCCGGGGGGACGAGGCGGCGGGAGACGTACCCGTGGCGTACTTGAGGAAGCGGTTGTAGCTGGGCAGCCTCTTCCAGCGGCCCCCGCCCCCCGGCTCCTGGTCGTACTGATCGTACAGGCGCCGCATCTCCGCCGACCAGCTGTCGTTGGGCAGGCTGTAGTCCCGGGGGGCTGAGGAGAAGAGCCGGGGCGACACCTGCTGGACAGGGGCGGAAGCGCAGGCACACAATAACAGGGGAGACCGGCTCGGTGAGGAGGATACGTGTGCACAATCGTGCAACGTGCAAATGTCCCAACACTGTGCTCACCTGCAATGGGGGCACTGGATACAGAAAGTGCTCTTATTCTAAAACAATACATAAACACTGAAATACCCCCCCAAAAAGGTGGCATTCCTACTTTTCATATTCATCTTTTCATCTCCAATCCGAATTGTTTGAGTATACAGCAAAAATACTGCAGTGTGATAGCAATTTTGACTTCACTGTCCCAATACACATGGAGGGCACTCTTTGCCATGTCTGTCCATATATATACCTGCCCTCTGTCCCC